CTTGGCAGGGAGGTTGAACTGGATGATCTCCAGAGGGCCTTTCCAACCCTGACGATCCTGTGGTTCTATGACAGGTACATTGGGTTTTTTCATATCATTACAAACATCTTAGAAAGCAAAAATTGTTTAAAAGCAAATGTTGTAAGAAAGGAGCCTGCCTCTCAGTTCTGGTACTGACCAAGTATGTCTTTCCACTCCTCCACAGCTCCTCCAGCAATCAGTGGAACTATTAATTAACCTGAGGGCAGTCCCTGGCCCACTGCAAGCACAGCAGGATCCATGCAAGGGGCAGGGGATGATGAAGATTTGGACTTGCATTCCAGAAAAGATGTCCACAAAGGGACACACTTCCCCCTGAGGAGCTGTTGGGTCACACTGACACCGCTGCCGCCTACCACAGATGGTTTTCAGCCTGTATCACTCATCACTATGACACAGCACTTCTCACATCACGTTCTTAATGCAGCACTGAGGTTAGTATGGAAATACTGTCTGTCTGTCAGTGTTCCTACCTGTGCCTGTGGTGGGTACTTGTTCTCATGTGGACTAGAGACCACTGATTAAATGCGCTCCGGTACCGCTGCTGAGCGATCACAGCATACCACTTTGGACAACCATGTGTTCTCACTGAGCCCTGTTGTACTGTGCAGTAATTAAAAAGTCATGAGTCCTATTTAAATATAGGGCATTGTGTCCTAAGCCTTCGAGTGCCTGTGAGGGTGAGTAAGCTCATTCTCCAAGGATGTTCTCTGGTCTGTGTACATGCACCAGCTTCATCCAAAGGATGTAGGAAATGCCAGATCCAGATACATGAATTCCACTTCAGTTTTGGGGTTTGTTGTTTGGGATTTTTAAAATACATCACTGATGAGTCCAGGGATGGCAAAAATTAATAGTAATGAGCTAATTACTATACCAGCTGCCTACAAAGGGGGGTCCTGTAGGCAGACTCCTTCTGCCCATTTGCCTGCTGGTTAAACCACCACTCTAGAAATTACAAAACAAAACTTGTTTTCCCTTTCTAAACATCTCTCAGCATCACCTTTATATGGCCCACAGCACCAGCACTGCTGAGCTTTTAAGTCTCCCAGCATCACCTTTGTATGGCCCACAGCACCAGCACTGCTGAGCTTTTAAGTTCTCGACGTCCAGCCAGAATCTCCTCTAGCGCATTCTAACACATTTTACTAGCTCGAGCAGGGTAGAACACAGCCGTCTCCTCAAGCGGACGCTGCTGAGGACGGGCACACCATCTGCGTGCCTCCCAACGTCCGAAGCCCCTTCCCAACTGCCAGCCCTGTGAAAAGCCAGAGTGTTCCTCTGATTGATTCACTTTTTAATGAACTGGGAAAGCCTGTGAACTTAAACCCTGACACCTCCACCTCCCTCCCTCCTGCGCCATCCCTGCAGCAATGTGCTGATTATATTTCAAGTTATTACAGGATTAATACAGCTGCCCCCGGTGCCTCCTTCCCCTGAACTTCATCAATAAAAGTTGTGTACTTTTACTCCAGCTCGTTCAGTTGCTCCCTGAATCTCTCCATGTAACCTGTGGTGTGTCAGCAAGGCTGTATCATATCAGTCCTTCAGAGCTGTCAGTGCTGCTAGCGGTTAGACCCTACTCGTGACATGGCCTTCTGTAAGTTTTGTCTGTTCAGAGGACATCTTGAGCTCTGCTACGCACCCCATCAGCTCTCTAAGCGGGTAGCACGTACTTAGCACAATTGAAAACAATGAAATAAGGTAATTCACACACAAAAAAATAAGTAGATTATGCTAGTGTCAGCTTTTTTTGAATTCACAGTGGAGCTATAAACCAGACTGTACACAGGCCAGTTCAAGTAGAAGGAAAAAGAGAAGATGGGGGAAGCAAAAGACCTGGGCCCAGCACAATCCAGTATTTCACACGTGGTATTTCTTTCTACAGAACAAGCTTCAGCTTTACTTTTTTTGTTGTGTTGTAGGTATTTTTTTTCCCCCCAAGAATCCTATTTTCTAAACCCATCATTAAAAATGTAATTAACTGGCTTATTCTTTGGAAAATGTGCAGTTGTTTACAAAGGAATTGCCACACAAGCTGCCACCTTCGACTGTGCTCAAGTGGGAAGTTACGCTCTTGTTTACAACTGTGCATCAATTCCACAATATATTTAGTTTTGGTACAAGTTACATGTAAGATTCTCACGGAGCTTAATGTTGCAGCAAATAACACATATAGTAAGCGAGCAGGATTTATCACTGGCTGTAATGTCGTAGTACATACTCTAAACCTATGTGGTGAATGATATACACGCACACACATGCAAACAAAATGGAAATATATTTAGTTTAAGAAGTGATGAATTGTGTCTGCTTTCATTATTCTCATTTTGTATCGTAGGAGAGTGGAGATCAAGCACATCTGTGAGAAGGGTGACTGGTTGGGATCACATCTGAGAAGCACCACACTCACTGATGAGCAGGTTAGAGAAGAAACTGTGCTTTGCTACTCATGGGACGAGAGGGGGTCCCTCACCCAGTGGGGTGGCTGGTGGGACTCCCACTGAGTCCCAAGTTGCTCACAGAAAGCATGAAACATAGATCCAGGTAAAACATCTCCCCCAGGATGTTTTTTTCCAAACTACTTTGTTGGAATTTTCCCCTTTAAATTATTTTGTCTTATTTTCTCCCTTCTGGTCTCTCTCAGCACGGAGACCGGGTGGCTCTGCTTAAATAACGCATCTACAGTTCTGCAATATCTTTTTGAACTATAGCAATTAAATGGAAAATAGAAAAATCAGCTCAGCATCCTGTTTGGATGTAATTAAAGGTATAATCTGTTCCATTTGAATACTTCAGTGCTTACCCTTCTTAAAACAACAAATAAGAATAGGAGCTCATTTGCAATATGTTTTTTTTTTCTCCAATCCAGCTAAAAAGACTGAACTGATGAAGCAGGAATAATTTTTAAATGTGGCATAAGCACAAAAATACCAACTGAAGCTTTTGAGTGGCTGCTGCAGATCCCACGTCTGAGGGGAGTTCAGTAACAAGGGGTATAAGCTTTATGGCAAAACATCTTCCACTGCTCGGTATCAGCATCTTGGTATGGCTGACATAATTACCTATCAAATACATCAGCCAAATACATTAGTGGAATGAATATCAGAGGATACCCAAAAATACAGAAGTGGGATGCGTATCAGCTCAGCCTGTTTGGGGCTGTTTGATCTGCAGTTTTTTTCCTAAGAATAAAAGGCAAATACCATATTCATCGCCCCTTTGTTTTCTGTAGGCAGCTGATGATTTTACAGCACAAAATTAGCCTATTAATGGCTGGCTTATGAATTTTAGCTGGGGTTTTTTTTCCTCCTATTGGACATTTCTCTACTGCTCAAAGAAATTAAAGTCAGGTGTAAAGTTAATATCTGCCTTGTTAATTTATTCATACTGTAAGCAATCAAGATTTCCCCAAATCACAGGGCAATCTCTCGCCTTCTGAGAATTAATATAGGCCCTGTTCTCTCAATTTAGTTTAACAAACCAACTGGCATAAGTTCAGTGGAACCAATGATTATTCTGAGAGGTTACAGCCAACCACAGAAGTTGTTAGTGAAAAGCTTGCTTGTAAGATCCCCTAAGAAGAAAAGTATATGGATATTATAAAATGCAATTAACAGCGTATTCCAGCACTGTGAGACAGGGACATCAGCTGGAACCTGCTGCACACAGCGTCAGCTTGCCCAGCGGCCACCAGTCCTGGAAGAACAAGGGACATGAGGAGCACCAGAGGGGACAGCGCACTGCTGCAGAGAAAGGCACCAGTGCAGGTTCTGACAGCGGGGGCTCCTTCCCATGCTGCTTCCTGTGTTTGGCTGCTTGGCTGCCTTCCTTCATTCATGGGCACTTCACTGGCTCCAGGACCCAACCAGGCAGAACAGCACTTCTCCTAATGTAAGTTTTTATCTCCACTGCATCACCTCCCTCTCAAAAAACCAAAGTTCTGTTGAGGCAAGAACATCTCAAGCTAAGCTTTGGGCTCAGTGTTATGGTTTATGGGGCTGCTTCAACAAAATGGCTGAGGTTTTCTGGTTTGGTTGGCTGGGGTTTTTTAAATTCTGTACATATCATGGGATAAAATTAAAAAAGGCCTAAAAAGCAAAATAATATTTTTCAAACATTTTTCATCATTCAAAAAGAAATGGATTTCCAGGCCCAGCATTTGTGAGCTGGGTGAACATCTTGTGTAGCAGGGAACTGATTGAAACAGATAAAGTGATTACAAAAAATGTAAGAGCAATATTACATATGGGATCAAAATGGCACAACAGTCTGTGAGGCCTGTATTAGAGCAGTGAATATGAGAGTTCAGAAGGTCCTTAGCACCTGTGAGAATTTCCAGCCCTCCTGGGTGCGTATGCTTTGCTGTTTGAAAGCCCTTTTCAGGCCTGGTCCTTCAGAGGCTTGAGCCCTTGCATAGCATTCCTCAAGCATCACCCTATACAGGGACAGCTCTTGTTTCAGCCACTGCACTTCACATCTTTCCTGAGCTGGCTGAACAGTGTGGCTTGGCCTTTCCAGTCACTAAAGTTCTGCAGTTTATTGCTTTTAATACAGTACCACTGAGAGGCCTCATCAGAAACTCAGAAAACTCCAGCCTTTGTGATACCAGGCTCTTGCTTGCCCTTCAGCGGCCAAGCCAGAGGTGAGTAGGGGCAAAAAAGCACCATGAGCCACCAGGCAGGACCAAGTCTTCCTTCCCCAGCCACCGCCTCGGATCCTGTTGCCCCCTCCCTGACCTGCATGCCAGGAACATTCTGTGAGCTTCGTGCTAGAATTGTTGATATAAGAAACACAACAGAACCTGACTTGTTAAAAATACCCACAGAAGAGGGAGGAAAATAACCTTGCACACAGCTGCGTCTGCCTCCAGTAAACAGGGCTTTTATCAGGCCTTGGGCTCAGACAGGACCACTCTGCTGCAGGTGAGTGAATTCCTGACTCTCAGCTGGGCAACTTCAGCTGAGGTTTAAGCCCAGGCCTTTCATCTGCCACTTCCCCAGAGCCAGGACCCTGCACACGCTGAGTGGTGTTCCCCATTCACCCCTGACGCAGCAGTTTGCTCAGCAGCGCTCGTCTGCCCCATGGGTCACCCTTCAGGAGCAGGGCCGGAGCCATCCCACCCCCCAGGAACAGCTCTGAGAGACAGGAACCTGTTTCTAAACGAAGCAGCGCTTATCTCATGCATGCCACAGGTGTGATGTCATCCCCGCCAGCGAAGGAAGGAGGATGTCTGCAGCCTCCACCGTGCAGAGAGGCAGGAACTGAAGCGAACATGTCTGAGACTTGGTTAGAGCCTGGTGATAATTAAGGAACGTAATTACCGCTGCAGAGATAATTCCTCTTTGAGTTCTTACAAACAAGTTTTTAATTTGCACCAAAAATTTACATCCCAGGTTTCAGGTGAACCGCGAGCGCTGTGAGCTCGCCGGGGACTCAAGGCAGGGGCTGGCAGGTTCTGCCAGGCTCCAGGGCAGGAGCACCGTGGCTTCCCAGGAATGGCGCAGGCAAACAGCTGCCAGCAGCCCTGGGTGCGCACAGGTGAGCGATGCCATTGCTTTGGACTGCCTCATCTGTTGTACAAGTGCGACGGTGAAAGCTGCGGCAGATGAACTTCTGCTTTTTATTAAAAAGGAAATCCAAACCAAAACCCCCACCAACTTATAAGGTAATTGATTGGTTTCTCCTAGTCTTTTATTAGTTGTGATTAAGGAGCTAGAGTAGCCCTGTTTACACAGCTCTAACAAGTCAGGACCTGCAGTACATTATTGGCTTGCGGCCCACAACTTGCAGTCCATTCTCAACAGAATCAATCTGGAGTTGAAAACATCCCCTGTAGGAAGCGTACACATCCCTGCTTATACAGGAACAGAAAACAGTAATAACTTCAGGTCCTGTAAGTTGCAAGTGCAACTTAGAGAGATCAGCCCTGACTTGTCATTGCTCTCAGCATGTTCGTGATGAGATCAGAGTGCTTCACAGAGGACTCGTACTTTCAACTTGACAAGGGACATAGGTGAGCGGGTTACACTTCCCTGTTACTCGCAGCTCAGGCTGCAGAAATAAATCGAGAGCTCCTCACTGTTTAACATGCAGTCAAAGCACCGCCAATCTAAAATGGCTGATCAGTAATACTTTAATTGCAGTTTCATAGAAACAAATTGCTATTTAATTGCAATAAGCTCTTGTGTGGCTTAGCTGGACTGACAATAGGCATACACCTGGTACTAACAGTAACATGCAGCAACAGTGGTTAGCCGGTACTTCATGTACGGGAGGCTCAGGCAGTGAAATGGGACCCGGCACACGTAATTTCACACGGAAGGAATGCAATGCTTAAAAAAGAGATGTACATAAATGTTCCGATCTCAGTTTTATTTGTTATTGAATAGAGCTGTTCGGGCTGGAGATCCTTGCAAAAAGCCTCACGCTTGACAAACAACTGCCAGCCAAAGAACCTGATAGAAAACTTGAAAGTAAAATGCACTTTTGAAAGGTCTGATGGTGCTTAAGAGCAGCTCACAGTGTGCAGGACATGGTGCGGCGTTGGGTGCCTTCTCTTTCTTAGTATTTACCCTAAAATTAGATGATGCAAATTTGATCGGTGTTGGCTAACAGGGAAGAAGGGAGACACCCTCGGTGTGGTTAATATTCTAAAGCTGTGACTTAATTTCCTGGCTTCATTTTGGTGAGACATTCTCATTTTATATTTCATAAGGTACCGCGTAAGCTGTTAAAATATTTAAAGATAAATCATGTAGGACTGAACAGACAGTATCTTGTTGCAAACAGAATTTGGTTCGGAAAGGCTTAATGTCCCCCTGCCTGCCAGGATGCGTAAATCTCGTCACAGACAGCTGGATAGGTGAAAACATTAAACCCATTCAGAGGGCAATCTTTTTACGGAGTTGTTTCATTAATAAGAGTGACAATTCCTATGATGGAGGCATTCAGATGCAGCATTGACGGAACCTTTTATCCAGGTTCACCGGGATGAGTTCAGATTAGAAATGTTTCCTTTGGTGTTCTTTAACAGCGTTCATTCCTGAAAGTGAGGGAAGCTCTTAGTGAATGATTATTTGTGTGACTTTTCCACAGCACTAAATGCGGAGGGTGTATTTCAGCCTCGGTATCGCAAATGCATGGGAGAAAAGGTGCACAAGTACCTATTTTTCCTTACAGATCTCCCCAAAAAGTGATTTTTCACAGAAGGACAAACCTAAGTGGTGCCAACAGCCTTCCACCCACACCTCCCATCCCTATTTGAGCCCGGTTTATTGTCTGAAATACCTCTGGTTTCAAGGAAGTGTTTTACCTAAAGCAAGAACACTACTTAAATATGTTCTATTGTATATTCATAGCTCCATTAGTCCTCCTCCAATTTAGCACATCAAAGCAAAAGCTTCATCACTCGCATGTGGATTATGCTAACATGAGTGACATTTGTAATCTTATAGGTCT